AAAATACTTCAAAGTACTCGTAAATATAGAGGCACTGGACCGTGTTGAAGATCCTCAGGAAAGACAACCATACTAATCTTCAGGCCAGATTTTCCTTGACTCCCAACAGACAACATTTTTGCAGAAATGACTCAAGGAGTCTTGTCAGTTCTTGGATCTTATGTTTGTTACTGGCTTTTCACTATGAAGAGGAATTCTTTATAAGACAGTAAGGATTATCATTTTATTGGCATCTTTCTTATGACCAGCTTTTTATTCTGGAACTCTTGGCCTCTTAAGCAAGAATAAGCAACTCTTGCACAGTCTTTTCAGTAAAAGCTAAGGGAGACTTCTCTGTTATGGAGCAGTTCTGCTTGCTTTTACTTTAGTAGAGGATTTACTCTTAAAGGCCACCAAAACAGAATGAATCAGATTGGTCTGTCGTCATGCTGTTGGTTCAAAAATAGGTACACATAAAAAGATTTTATTTAAAAACTAATGCAGACAGAGAATGCAAATTAGTGTGATTATTACTGAACACATCTTTTCTTTTGAGATGCCTTTTTACCTTACCCATGGGACTAGTCACAATTCATCTTTTAAAGTGGGGAAAAAAGGTACCACTATTGATTTCACTTGTCCATCAGATTTCTATATATTTTTGATGAGTAGCGCTAGGCATACAGCAACATGATTGAATTGTAAAAGTAATTAGTTTTTGTTCTGTTTGTATCTCTTCTATATTAATTTTCAATATGCCTTCAAGCAGGTGGAAAGCATGGAAATGTTGCAGTGAAATGTTAAACTTGAATACTTCCACAGCTGTACTGCTTCTTTCTTCCAGTACCATAGCCCATATAGTAAGGCAACTTCAGGAGTTAACTCATATAGACAATGTTTTGAAATTAATTTCTGTAATGTCAGGTGAGCAGTAGTCTGTCTTCTTGGCTTAGTCACTTTTTTTTCCCCTTCAAAGTTCAACTATGTGTCTTGGCTAGTGCATACATCAAATGTATTTATAGCAGCTGCTGAGAAATCACTGAAGGTAAAAATACAGTGTGACTGTGGATAGTGTCAATAGTACACACCAGAGTAGTGAAATTCCACCACCTCACCATTTACCGCTCCATCAAATAGCATCTGCGATCTGACAATTATACAGATGATGCGCCTGGACAAGATCAACTGATATGACTCCTGGATCTTCCAAGCAGTGCTTGCAGTCCCATTCACATTCTCATCACTACAAGCCACTACTGATCTGAGAAAAAATATGCACTTCCAGAAAATCACAGCCGCACACATTTTCTTTGAGGTTTTGCCCATCACTTCAGGTTGTAAACCCAAGAGAAAATGCAGCAGCAATGCACTGTATATCATTGTTTAGGCTTTTGATTGACCTAAGAACCCTAAAAGCACTATCCATAAGACAGGGCACCCGTAAGTCTCAGAAGTGGTACTTATCCCAACTCAGTGGAACAGAACTCTGAAGACTTGGATTGTACTCACAGTTCTCCTAGTAGCAGCACTGAGATCTCCCGAGGAAACCTACCATGCATTGTGGTATTTACAAATATATAAAGAGACATGACAGATGTTCCATTGAAGAAAAATGGTGTATATGTAACATTATTATAAAGAAATAATAGTTTTCTGCTGATGTTTACTGCTCAGCAAAGCTCTGTCATTACCTTTTTCTTTGGTCTTTTTAAAATAGTCTTAAACCCATTATTTCTGCACTCATATTTTCTCTACAGGATGTACCAAACTTCTCATCTTAAAGCAGCACTAGGAACAAATAGAGTATGATGCTTTTCATCCCTTTTCCCAGTTATGTTTCTTGATTAAGTGCCAACTGATGCTCTACTCACTGTTGGCAAGAGTCTGTCCTACTAGCCTGTACTACCTTTAAAGCTAGTGAGTATGCAATTAGAACAGGGGAAAGTGCAAAGGCAATACATTGCTTGTCAAGTGTGCCAAGGCTGTTATATCCAAGTGATATGGACTCGCTTGTATGCCTACTCCCATACTATCTATGAGGTGTGTGGTGAGCTGCTAAAGATCCTCCACTCGGGTTTTTCTAATCTGTATCTGTACTGCTCTATTCACCACAGCAGACATTGGAGCCAGCCACAGCCACTGCAGACATGAATTAGTCTACCTGCCATAGGTGGCTGAAAGACTAGAATCCTATAACAAAACAAGAGAACAAGATGAAGTGACATCCCTGAGATTCCCAAGTTAACCTAACATCTCAATGAGTTCATGTCATTTAAGCAGTCATAGAAGCTGGTCAAAGACTTGAACCCACCTCTTTCAATTAACATCACACACATGTATTCAGCTATTCAGTATAGGATTTTTCAGCTAACTTTCACCATCTGGCTATTGGCTGAGAATTCCTTTTTGGAAAATGCTGAGAAATATCTATTTTTCACTTGCGTAAAGTATTATCAGAAAATATGTTTTACTAGCAAAGAAAATTCAGTTTACTCTTCTCATCCGCAGTATACAGTGAACCCTAGTTTTGTGCTGTTCCAGGAATTAGGGCTCTATTAGTGAAGATTTAGGTCCAGTATACATTTCCTTAATAGAAAACAAACTTGTAAATAATGCTGCCCTGTACTCTGCTCTGGTGAGACCCCACCTGGAGTGCTGTGTCCAGCTGTGGAACCCCCAATATCAGAAGGATATTGACCACTTGGAGCGAGTCCAGAGGAGGGCCACGAAGATGCTCAGAGGGCTGGAGCACCTCTCCTATGATGAAAGGCTGCGAAAACTGGGCTTGTTCAGCCTGGAGAAGAGGAGGCTCCGAGGAGACCTCATTGCAGCTTTCCAGTATCTGAAGGGGGCCTACAAGGGTGCTGGGAGAGGACTTTTTACAAGCGCCTGTAGTGACAGGACAAGGGGTAACGGATACAAAGTGAAATCAGGGAGGTTTAGATTAGATATCAGGAAGAAATTCTTCACAGAGAGGGTGGTGAGGCACTGCAACAGGTTGCCCAGAGATGTTGTGGATACCCCATCCCTGGATGTCTTCAAGGCCAGGCTGGATGTGGCTTTGAGCAACCTGGTCTAGTGCAAGGTGTCCCTGCCCATGGCAGGGGGGGTGGAACTAGATGATCTTTAAGGGCCCTTCCAGCCCAAACCATTCTATGATTCTACTTCTTGACAAGAAAACAGACTGTGAAAAAAACCGAATTGTTTATTTTAATTCGCGACAGTGATAGAGAAAAAGCCAGTCCATTTTAGCTTGTCACTAGAAAAATATTCAAGTTGTTTCCAGCTGTTCAAAGAATTTGAGTCCTAATTTCAGGTCATATAAAAATCACACATCCACTCCAATCCAGTCACCATACTGAAATACTCTGGGTGAAATTTTAGTCTCCTTAGTGTTAGAGACTGTTTTCACACTGCCCTCTGCAGAGAGAACTTAATTCCTGAAACATGAGTTTCAGGTCTCCTAGAAAGAAATTCTGACAGCTGTTATTTCTTGAAAAATAACTGGGCAAGTTAAGGGATTTTTAACATAGTAAATAGACCCCTGAGGTTAAGAAGTTGCATTACATGTAATGCACCAACTTGTTTGTGATAGAAATTTCTGAGAAGAAATTTCCGGAGATCATTAATAGCCTTGTTTGTGCAGAGCCAACGCTAACTTAAAAAAAGGTGAAAAATATGCCCTCACAAACCCTCCACCTGATTTTTACAAAAGCAAGTTATTAATGCTCAGGTAGTCACCAGAAACATTAGTTGTGTAGAAGTCTAATTGGAAACATGTACGTATATACTAGGAGCACAAAAACTAATACTGATACATGCATGTGCAAATGTGTTTTGTTTTAAAAGAAAGCCTAAAAATCTCTAACAAGAAACTATTCAAAAGACCTGACCTACTGTTAGGTCACATTTAATGCCCAGTATAGTCATGATCTAAAAGTTTATGCTCTCAAACCCTGAAACATAGGCTTGTATACTTCCAAACACTTCTAAACACTCTTAGCACAGACCTGATCTCATCTTTACTAGCTCACACACCTGATGTTGGTTTCCGTTTAGCCAACAGAAATGCAATCAGCAGCAGGTCTTACTACAGGACCTATCATCAAAATCAGAAAATAATGCTTTTCTTCACTTGAAACAAACATGGTTCCTATTTAGTACGTTACCAGTAAAGTATGCATTACAGGATCCTGTGAAAACCATAGTCTAGCAGTTACTGCTCTAACTATACACTACATTAAAAGTATTTGTGAGAAAATCTTTCATTTCGCTTTCATGGCAGGCTGTGTTTGAAATGTAAAAATATTTATTTTAAAATACATTTTGTTTAAACCTAACACTATCATCATCCATTGAAAAACATGAAACCAAGAGGTTTTTCGTATCTGTAGCAGTTCAGACCCACTTTGGTTTTACAGGGAGAGACACACAGGGCACACAGAGGAGACAAAAAAGTCACAGAGTTTTTCCCAGCAGCCTTAGTGCCTCATTTGCTGGACGGATTTCACCATGTTAGCTGGTGTCTCAAGGGCAGCCTGAGACTCACACATTGGAAGTCTCATGCATTTTTTAAACTGAAATACACAGAGGTAGAAGGTGAGGACTGACTGACAGGCTTCCAAGGCATTACTCTAATGCAAATACAAACAGTAACTCTTCTTAGGAATGATATTTAAGAGCCTTGTTTATAATTGTTAGCTACTGTCTTAAGAGCTTAGATGAATGACATGAACCCCCTTCTCTGAACATACCTTGTTTTTTACTTTACAGTGGAATATTTTTTTAGGTAATTTCTTGCACCCACTTTTGCTTTAGATATTTTTAACATGACCCTCATATTTATATAGAGAAAATAAAATGTAAGGATAATGAATAAACAAAACCACTTATACTTGTGAGTTAGGCTGCACATATCACGTTTTTATAGAAACCTTTTAATAAAGCCTAGGGAAATCACATTTACATGACAGAAGACCTATTTAAAACAGAACAGAAATCTAAAAAGTAGAAATTCTTACCCTAAAAAACTCTTTAGTGGAGCCAGAATCTAATGTCCCATAAGCAATTTCTGTTTGCTTGGAAAGATCCTCTGCACTTTCAATGGGAGACACCATCCTCTCAACCGTCAGGAAGGCAGCTAAGTTAGCCGTGTAGGATGAGATTATGATGAGGGTAAAGAACCACCACACACCTCCAACAATGCGCCCAGACAGGGATCTAATAACAAGTATGAAATGGATTTGTAAAGTGAAATGAACGTCCTAAAAAGGAACACATGTTATCAGTTTTATGCAAATGATGCATTACACTGTAGGGAAGCATTTCAGACTATCTCGTAGTACAGCTATGCATACTAATCAGAAGGGAATCAATGCATACGTCACTACACCTCCTGCACTTCGCTGAAATCAGGACTCCAGAGTTTACTTTAGGGAGAATTTAGTGATCCAGTTCTTCCAAGTTCTGAACATCATGAAAGGAAACTGCTCCCATCGTAATGTGCTATATTTAACACATAAGCTTATCATTCCCTCTGAAGTGAATTTGTGTGACATTATGAAGAGGATCGAACAAAATCAGTGAAACAGTGCTTTTAGATAAACCAGTATGCACTTAAATATTAAGAGCCTTCAGCTTGCTTATTTTCCTAAGACATTCAGACAAAGACTGATTTCCACAAAACAATGGCTTACGCTGCTGTGGACAATCTGTGCTGAGAAACAAATTGCATTATTTGCAATAAAAACTGGCCCAGCGAATATTCATAAACTAAAACGTGCACACAACTTTTGAAAGATACAAGCATTTAACAAACTGAGGACTGAACATGAAACGATCAGTGATAACACAGAAAAATGGTGAAGAAAGTGTAATTTTAAATAATAACAATCTGATGTTTTTAACTGCAGCAGGTGGGGTCTTATGGATCTTTGTTTTGCATCTCCTGCTCAAGAAGAGAGAAGAAAAGAGAACTCAAGAAAAGATATAAAACAGTATACAGCACACAACTAGAGAAATTAAATGATTTTCAATACTAGAAAACTAATAGAACAGAATTATTGATACTGCCAGTAGTGCCAAACTTCCCATTTTTTAAATGATCCTTGAAACTTTGAAATTACTTACTACTTTCTTTCCAAACAAGACATTATAGGAAGAAGTACATAATCTTTGCAGATGTGCTTAATTATTTGGCAGATATGTGCATGCAGTTGAAAGTCTAGTACTAAGGCCGTGCAGTAGCTTAGGTATGTCTTGATGTATCTCCTCTATCTATTAAGTAAAAAGATTACAAATCACTTACCCAGCCAACTGTATTGTGAGTGAGATTTCAAACTATTCCTGACAAAATATTACATATAGGTGTAACTATA